GAAATACTTACCATTTCTTCATCTTAACTCACTTAAGATGAAGACAGAAGTTAGATGTTTAATTTAAGTTGAAGATTAGATGCATTTAATTACAAAATGCATGGGTCCTAAACATCTTAGGGGTAGCGTAATGGTTAAAGGTCACATGCAACGTAAACACAACTTTGCAGATTCTAATACCTTTCGGTATGGACTTACAGTAACAAATTATCAAAAATGCAAATTCAACTTATAAAGTTGAAAAAATAACGCGATGAAAAAACCCGCGAAATCGGAGTTCAAACGATTCACTAAATTCACCCCAGCTGGGGTGAAAAGTGGTTTCAACAGCTGTGCTGCAGCTGCACTTCCGCTCATGGCGCAGTGAATAGGTTCGCGCGGCTTGGAAGCTTAACATTTCAAGACGGAAAACCTTCGCTGGCGGTGAAATACTCGGAGTAGGCTTTGATGTGAGCTATTTTTCTAATGTTTTGTTGATATTTGACAGGCGCGAGCTTTTGTATGTTATGGCAGTAGATTACCGATTTTAACTGTTTATATAATTTCACTTGTCTATTGCACCACACGTTCTTCTTACCGAGTCACTTTTCAGTTCGATACTTAAAAGCAACGTCATTATTTAGCATTGTCAGAATGTCTAACTGTGACATAGATGTGCCTCTGTCACAGACATAACTCAATGTCTGTTTTATTGACACCTATGTATCTGCCTGCCTGTCTGCTAATGACGATATGCAATACACAACTTCGATCACTGACCACATGCAATTTGAACTTACACCTATCAGGCTATACACCATAGAACAAAACGCATTGATTTGGCTTGTGCAATTCGAGTTCGGTCCCTGTCACATTATGTAATTACACAGACAGGCAGGTGTGATTCTTGTACACATGACATGTTATAATGTCTGTTGATTGCAAAATGTTATACACAAAAATGAGCATGTATTTACAAAACCCAACATATACACACACAAAGAGCCCTGAGTGTATCGGGAAAAGAACCAGCCAATGGAACACTTCGTGCACGCCCACAAGCTCTGACTGGGTTCGGTATCCGGGTGCTTCGTTTGAGAGCAGTAAACCCCAAGTACAAAATATTGCACTTTTGATTTGCGATTGTACGCTTATAACTTTGTTTATTTGATTTTTCATAATCAGCAATGTATATTATATGTCATGAATAAGTGATAATTGTGTTTTAATTATGTTTAGTAGTTTTGGTTGCATGTGACCGTTCGTCCACGCCGCATACAATTCCCCACATGGGTACAATGTGTGAAACCCGTTTCTGGTGTCCCCGCCACGATATAGCTGGAATAATTGCTAAAAGCTGGGCGTATATGTAAAATCACTCAGCTAACCATCCACAGATATGAATTTTCAGACCCCTTCCCTCTAAAACTACGCCAAGTTCTGTTGGTTTGGTTTGAAACGTTCTTGTGACGGACTGACTAAAATTGGTTTTACGCCGCTTTAACAAAATTTCTAGCAACATCACGGCGGGGACACCAGAAATGGGCTACACAACTGTACCAGCGTGGATTCGAATCCGGGTCTTCGGCGTGACATGCAGCCAACGCTTTAACCACTAGGCTACCCACCGCCCAGAAACGTTCATGTGACGGAACGTCATATAACATAATGATTTGATTTGTTTGATTTGTTTAACGCCGCAATCAACAATATTTCAGCTATATGGCGGCGATCTGTAAATAATCCAGTCTGGACCAGTCAATCCAGTGATCAACAGCATGAGAATCGATCTACGCAATTGGGATTAGATGACATGTGTCAACCAAATCAACAAGAAGCCTGACCACTCGATCCCGTTAGTCGCCTCTTATGATAAGTATGGGGGTTACTGAAGATCAATTCTAACTTGGATCTTAACGGGTGGGGTCAGGACAGACAACCCAGTGATTGATATAATGAGCATTGCACGGTTTGAAATAATCAAATCGAGCCTGGCCACCCGATTCATTAAAACACCTCTCGTACGCGCGGTATTGTTTGATGGAGACAAATGTATTAAATCTGAAAGAGTAGGAAATTAAGATATACGACTTTCAATCTTCCCTTTTCTAGCTGCTCCCCAGTTCAGTTCTGCTCAAAGGTGGGAACAGTTAGTTGCCCATGACGTTGACGAGGCGTCGGACTCGCCGCCAGCAGGCAAACACGCTGGTGTTCTGTATACCCAAGAACGACAAGGGAGAACAGCAACAGGATATTCGCTATAGCAGCTGCCTCGGGTATGTGGTCGTTACCGTTTCTGTGCTATATATCATAGTGCTTCAGCTTGTTCATCTAAACTATGATTATTGTTAGTTTTGTGTAACATTCATGATGATGATGTTGGATTACTTGGAAAATTTAACGCACCTTCCGACATAATGCGTATTTCGCACACGGGCGTATCAGGCCATTTAGTGTTTGATCGAAAGAGTGGTGATTTGACCGAAACACATGGCAACCTGGACAGGGCGTTAGTGGTGCGTAATTAAATTTGTATGGAATTATACTTTGGAAATTTGTCCAGTTGTAGGGGGTGAACATTCATGTTTATTTTGTTCAAGCAGTATGTGAATGGTGATCAGATCACAATAAGATATCCTTGGTGTTAACGTACTACATCAGTTGATTCACCTTTGTCTTAAAGCGCGGAAGCGCCAGGCAATAATGATTAGGATGGCTGACGTTGTCCTCTCACATCTATCCTCTCTGTCCAGGCAAGCTTCTGGCAACAATTAAAATCTCTGACGCTGTCCCTCACACCTGTCCCTTCTGTCCAGGCAAGCTTCTGGCCACAATTAAAACCTCTGACGGTGTCCTCTCACACCTGTCCTCTGTCCAGGCAAGCTTCTGGCCACATTTAAAATCTCTGACGCTGTCCCCTCACACCTGTCCTCTCTGTCCAGGCAAGCTTCTGGCCACATTTAAAATCTCTGACGCTGTCCCCTCACACCTGTCCTCTCTGTCCAGGCAAGCTTCTGGCCACATTTAAAATCTCTGACGCTGTCCCCTCACACCTGTCCTTTCTGTCCATGGCACAACTTCACCTGGTCACAATTAAAATCTCTGACGCTGTCCCTCACACCTGTCCTCTCTGTCCAGGCAAGCTTCTGGCCACAAAAATTCCTGACGCTGTCCCTCAATATCTGACGTTGTCCTCTCACACCTGTCCTTTCTGTCCATGCAAACTTCTGGTCACAATTAAAATCTCTGTCGTTGTCCTCCCACACCTGTCCTTTCTTTCCATGCAAACTTCTGGCCACAATTAAAATCTCTGACGCTGTCCTTCCACACCTGTCCCCTGTCCAGGCAAGCTCCTGGCCACAATTAAAATCTCTGACGCTGTCCCCTCACACCTGTCCTCTCTGTCCATTCAAGCTTCTGGCCACAATTAAAATCTCTGACGTTGTCCTCGCACCACACCTGTCCTTTCTGTCCATGCAAGCTTCTGGCCACAATCAATTAAAATCTCTGACGTTGCCCTTTCACACATCTCCCCTGTCCAGGCAAGCTTCCGGCCACAATTAAGATCGCTGACGTTGTCCTCTCTGTCCACAATTAAAATCTCTGACGCTGTCCTATCACACCTGTCCTCTCTGTCCAAGCAAGCTTCTGGCCACAATTAAGATCGCTTAAATTGTCCTCTCATCTCACCTGTCCTCACTATCCAGGCAAGCTTCTGGTCACAGTTAAGACAGCTCACATTGTCCTCTCATCTCACCTGTCTTCTCTATCCAGGCAAGCTTCTGGCCACAATGAAGATCGCTCACATTGCCAACTACGACTGGGAGGACCTGGCAGTAGGTCCGTGTCCCGGGTCGGGGTCGTGCATCTACATCGCCGAGACGGGAGACCACGCCGGCGACGGCGCTAAGAACATCATCTACAGGGTGAAAGAGCCGGCCGTGATCAAGGACCAGACGTTGGACGTTCTAGACCAGTTGCACTTCAGGTGATTAGTACATCTTGACTTACGAGTGAGTGAGGGAGTGTGCTTTTACGCCCCAATAAGCAATATTCCAGCAATATCACGGCGCGAGGACTACAGAAATGGGCTTCACATATTGCACCCGGTGTCTACGCTTTAACCCCGCAAAAAATTACAAAACACTTTTGTGTGTTATTCGCTTTTATGAAGCCGTCTGAAATAGTCCGGCTTTATCAGCGTTCAAATAATTGACATCATGGAGTGAAACCTTTTTAATCTGATGTTACACAAACGTTTTCATTTTTTGGGGGGTATAGCAACCGAGCGTATTGTTTTCAAAATATTGTATTGTGACACCTGAATTGAGTGAGTTTAGTTTTACGCCGCACTCAGCAAAGTTCCAGCTATATGGCGGCGGTCTGTAAATAATCGAATCTGGACTTGACAATCCTGTGATCAACAGTATAAGCATCGATCAAAAGCAATTGGGATACAATGACATGTGTCAACTAAGTCAGCGAGCCTGACCACCCGATCCCGTTAGTCGCCTCTTACGACAAGCATGGGTTACTAATCAATATTCTACCCCCGATCTTCACGGGTCGACACCTGAAGGATGTCCGACAAAATTCCCTAAGTTAACTTGTACCATTTTCTTGTGTCCTTGTGCAGTTGAACATTTGATTTTCCAATGTATGTGTTTGTGACGGGTGCCACTGATACGCTCACCTATTTGCGAACCCATTATGATCGCTTTTTAATAATGATTCATGAGTGAGTGAGTGAGTTTAGTTTTACTCTGCTTTTAGCAATATTCCAGCAACATCACGGCGGGGGACACCAGAAATGGGCTTCACACATTGTACCCATGTGGGGAATCGAACACGGGTCTTTGGCGTGACGAGTGAACACTTTAACCACTAGGCTACCCCACCGCCCCTATTCATTCATGAACACATGCTTTGGTAGAGTTTTCTTATTATTGTGTAAATGGTTTCTCTCGCTTTTATAATTGTATTTTTGAGGTTTGCGTTATATACTGGTTATTGTATTTCAGATGGGGTGAGCCAGACTGCGAGTGTGTGATGGTCGACCCGGCCGGAAATACATACGTGGTGTCCAAGGTTCATGGTGGGCGTGGCCTCATTGCCAAACTCCCATCCTACGGCTGGGGAGGCACCACCGTAGATGCAGGCCCATCACAGCGCGTCCCCATCACCTCCACCCATAACGACCCCAACGGCTGCGACATCTCCCCCGACGGCAAGGAGATGTTAATTAAGGCCCGGGATGCGGTGTACTATTGGGCAGTGCCTAACGGAGACTACGTGTCAGCAGTGAAGACGGCACCAGCAACATTGCCGTATCATCCTGAGCCACGAGGAGAGTCTGTTGCCTGGACTCCCAACGGAGACGGCTATTACACTCTATCTGAAGGGGATGACCAGCCACTTTACTTTTACAAGCGTCTGTAGATCAAATGATACCTGTGAACTATGAACACTATTGAAGTCCAGGGCCCTGTTCCAGAAAGCTATCGTAGCGCTACGACAGTCGTAAGTCTAAAGTATGGGAGTTACTGTCGTCTTAGGGTTACGATAGCTTTGAGGAACGAGTCCCAGGGATCCGTTTCGAAGCTCCCAGAAAGTCGTAAGTTCAGAAAGCTACGACATAGCTCTACGACAATCGTAAGTCTATGCTAAAGTATGGGACTTGGGTCGTCGTAGGGTTACGATAGCTTTGAGGAACGAGCCCCAGGGATCCGTTCAGAAAGCTAGCGTTGCGCTACGACAGTCGTTAGTCTATGTTACAGTATAGGAGGTATGACAGTCTAGCGCTACGATAGCTTTGTGAAATGGGACCCTGTGCCTCGTTCCACGAAGCGATCGTAGCGCTACGACAGTCGTAAGTCTACGTTAAAGCACTAAGTTACCATCGCCTTAGGGTCACGATCGCTTTGAGGAACGGGGCCGGTGGATAGGTTTACATAACAATAAGTTTATATATGGATGTGGATTCCTTGAATTCGATATAAAACATTTTTACTTGTACTATTTCTACCGTTCCACAGTTCTTCTAAAGGACGGATATTATCTGGACGTTTTAAGCAATATTCCGGCAATTTAAGTGAGTTGAATTCCAGAAAATGGATGACGGAATATTTGAGTGAGTTTAGTTTTACGCCGCACTCAGCAATATTCCAGCTATATGGCGGCGGTCTGTAAATAGTCAAGTCTGGACCAGACAATCCAGTGATCAACAGCATGAGCATAAATCTACGCAGTTGGGATACGATGGCATGTGTCAACCAAGTTAGCGAGCCTGACCACCCAATTCCGTTGATCGCCTCATACGACAAACATGGGTTACTGAAGATCAATTATAACCCGGATCTTCACGGGTCGCCAAGGTGCCAAGGCGTATTTGCAAAAACAGCATACTTTGTTCATGAATTATCCGATATTACGTTGAATGACTCCTGAAATGGGCTTTGTTCGTGGATTAGCCGATATTACGTTGAATGACTCCCGAAATGGGCTCTACACATGCCTACATTGAACATCGAACTGGTGTTTTCGGTGAGACGACAGAACGCCTCAAGATTACCCCAACTGCCCCAGACTAAACAAAGTAACCCTAGAGGTGATAGCTGACCCAGGGACAACTGACACGTGCCATTTAACGTCAACAAATATGTACTACTTACCAACAACTGATATATACTATTTATCTAGATTTAACTTAAAGGTACTATTTGCCTACTCCCAAAATATACCTGAAGGGCGGCGAGGTAGCCTGGTGGTTAAAGCGTTGGCACGTCACGCCGAAGACCCGGGTTCGATTCCCTACATGGGTACAATGTGTGAAGCCCAATTCTGGTGTCTCCCGCCGTGATACTGCTAAAAGCGGAGTTAAGCCATACACACGCACTCTTTACCTGAAACTAATTGATATTATTTACCTCATACCAAATAATATGTGCTCTGTACAGTGTACCCACATCCAATACAAACACCTACATAGGTACTATTTACCTACAACTGATAGGTATTATGTACTTTACACCAATATGTGCTCTCTACCTACACCCAATAGTAACACGTTCCCTACATATGTTCTAGTCACCAACAACTGATAGGTACTATTTACCTACAACTGATAGGTATTATGTACTTTACACCAATATGTGCTCTCTACCTACACCCAATAGTAACACGTTCCCTACATATGTTCTAGTCACCAACAACTGATAGGTACTATTTACCTACAACTGATAGGTATTATGTACTTTACACCAATATGTGCTCTCTACCTACAAACACCTGCATATAGTAACACGTTCCCTACATATGTTCTACCTCACCAACAACTGATAGGTACTATTTACCTACCACTGATAGGGACTATTTACCTACAACTGATAGGGACTATTTACCTACAACTGATTGGGACTATTTACCCACAACTGATAGGGACTATTTACTTACCTACACTGATAGGGACTTATTTACCTACAACTGATAGGGACTATTTACCTACCACTGATAGGGACTGTTTACCTAATAGGGACTGATAGGGGACTATTTACCTACAACTGATTGGGACTATTTACCTGATGAACTATTTCCCTATGTGGACTATTTACCTTACCTACAACTGATAGGGACTATTTACCTACAACTGATAGGGACTATTTACCTACAACTGATAGGGACTATTTACCTACAACTGATAGGGACTATTTACCTACAACTGATGTGGACTATTTACCTACAACTGATAGGGACTATTTACTTTTATAGCTAACATACATGGAATTATCATGAAACGGCCCTCTCGTCATCAGAAATTTGCGGTCCGCTGCAAATGATATTGGACCGCTCAACTTTAACGACGGGCCACTATCAGTTCTGTTGTCAAGTGACGTCATAGTTCGACATTAGTGGCTTTCGACTGGCAGATGTTCTGGGTCAAACAAGTCAAAGCAACCCAAATTCCCGCTTTAAATAGCGGTAATATTGGCTTTCTTGCTGGTGCTAACCTTAACAATTGCACTATTAAAACTGTTGATGGACCAAAACCGAACACTGTCATAGCTTGACATGTTGCAGGCTATGGTCTTGTCAAAGGCCAAGGTCGAATATCGTCACTTTCTGTTGTGACGTCACTTGAATTGTTCGATGACGTAATTGCATTCGGGCAGTCAACCCCGTCAGAAGTTGATTTGGGTAAACTTACAGTCAAATTCCTTCATTGTTTCCTTTTTCTTTTCAACACAAATTCCATGTAGTTTAGAAATAATAACGGTAATGCTATTTTTGAGGGCATTATCATTTGCAGAAGCCCTCGGTCTTTACCAACTGCCCTCCTTCGTCGGGCAGTTAATGGAAGACCTCGGGCTTCTGCAAATGATAATGCCCTCAAAAATAACATTACCCTTATAACAACTGATAGGGACTATTTACCTACAACTGATAGGGACTATTTACCTACAACTGATAGGGACTATTTACCTACAACTGATAGGGACTATTTACCTACAACTGATAGGGACTATTTACCTACAACTGATAGGGACTATTTACCTACAACCGATGTGGACTATTTACCTACAACTGATAGGGACTATTTACCTACAACTGATAGGGACTATTTACCTACAACTGATGTGGACTATTTACCTACAACTGATAGGGACTATTTACTTACAACTGATAGGGACTATTTACCTACAACTGATAGGGACTATTTACCTACAACTGATAGGGACTACAACTGATAGGGACTATTTACCTACAACTGATAGGGACTATTTACCTACAACTGATAGGGACTATTTACCTTACACCAATATGTGCTCTCTGTCTACACCCAATAAGAACACCTACCTACATATGCACTATTCACCTGCAATGGATAGGCACTACTAAGCTACAGTTGAAAGGTATTATTTACCTTACAATAATGTGTTCTTTGTCTAAACCAAACAGGAATGCCTTACCTGCATATGCACTAATTACCTCTTACTGATAGGTATTATTTACCTATTTACAATGATAGGTACTAAACAGGCCGTCAAAAGAAAGTAAAAATTGGCAAAAAGTTGTTTATTTCTTAAAAATGGTAATTTGATTGCATGCTTCTTTGCTTATGTCGCCAAAACGCAGCATCGTAAACGGGAGTTGTAGCACGAAAAAATGGTAGAACTGGAAGTGCACAAAATGCATGACATGCACGTGCAGAATTTTGGTATAAGTTGTGTTGAAACATTCCTCTGACTCACACAAAATGAAAGCTCACCAGAATAATGCCACGTTTGACGCAAGAGCAGAGGGAGAGAGCTGTTGGTATGGCGGAGATGAGTGCAACACTGGCTCATATTGCCAGAACGCTCAGCTGTACACGTTTGACAGTGGCTAGGCTGTTCCAACGTTTCAGGCAGATTGACAGGATCCAGGACCGACCAAGAAGTGGACGTCCACGTGTGACAACGCCACACCTGCGTAACCGATTTGTGACGGCGACGTCAACATCAGAGACGACGTTAGGACGTCGCATCAGTCCACGCACAGTCACCAGGAGACTTCGGGAGTCCGGCATCAGAGCCTATCGACCTTTCTGTGCAATGGCCCTGACTCAGACATCGTGTTGCCAGACTGGCTTGTTTTTTTCGATAATATTTATTTTCCCAGAATCACATACAGTCATGTTGGAATGATACTTGCAATCCATGACACAAACACAGCAATATATACATGGATAGTAACAGGGCAAGCGGAAGGTGAGTTCAACACTGTACTGCTGCCACCATTTGACATGGAAATTATTCATTATACACCCGCGTGCTGCATTTGACCACGAATGTGTCCCTGAGAGATCTAGACACCGATCTGGGGAATGTCATGGGATCGCTAAGGCAATTGGGTCGATAATATATGCAAAAAAGCGACAAGAGAGACAGAGAGATAGAGAGAGGGAGAGGAGGGAGAGACAAAGGGGAGGGACAGGTTAAAGGGTCGGAGCGAGGACAAGATGAGGTAGACCTGTTGTTTAAACTGTAAAACAGCCAGACCATTTTCTCAAAACGTTTTCATTATCTTCCCGAAATATATACTTTTCAACATTGTAATGAAGTCTTATAATTTGTAGGAGGTGGTTAAAATTTTATTGTTTAAGCATGCATTTACATTTGTAGATATATTTTTTCATAATAGTGTATAGGTTGTTGACAAGAAAACTTTCACTGGGGTCACCCAGAAAAAATGAAGAGAGACTGAAATCAATACTACGACGGTATCATTTTCGAACCAACTCAAAAAACTGTCAATTAGAAGCTGAACTTTACAGCATTTGTAAAATAAGTGTTCAATGGTTTCATTTTCATGTTCACAAAAAGAGCAACGCTGATCATCACTTTGTCCGATCTTATAGAGGAAAGTTTTAGTTGAAATTGTTCGGTGAAGTAATTTGTATTGAAAGTTTCGGATGGAGTTATCAATAGATGATTTCTGATTGAATTCAAAGCATTTTGACATATGCTCTTGTGACGGCGTGATCTATTTTGCTTTCCCATTTGTTACATAACTTTTCGAGCGAGACCTGGTTTTGTTCACACAATAGCTGATAGATGAATTTACAGTCATCAGAACGAAGAAGATTCACTAATAAGTCACAATTTCTCGCTGTGACAATTGTTGGCAGGTCCTGATTTTGATTTTTGATAATGGAAAGCCATTCACGCGGAAGATATTTTAGTAATTTGAAGTAAAGTAAATATGTATCAGGAATATTAAACTCATTTTTTATCAATTTAAACTCTTTTATTTCATATGCTTTTGTAAACATTTGGTAAACGTTTTAATCTTTTGGCATGCCACCTGACAAAAGATGGTACATCTTTATTTGGAATAAAATTCATTAACGGAGTATGGATACGGAGTATGGATATCAGATATATGATCATTTCGCAGGTCTGCATAATTGGAGATAACATCTCTCCAAAATAGATTTTCTATGTGTTTACATGTTCGTTTTAACTCTCTTTTTTGAAAATTGAGCAGCGTGAGATCGTTACATGGGTATAGAGATAAAATTGACAGATTTTGCCAGAGGCCATCTATTGTTATCCGTTTGATCCACTTAATTTTAAGTATTTATTAAAATTACGAAAGATCCCCGTGAGAATAGTTATTTGTCAGCATTTTTCTCTTTATCTTGTCTCTTTTACCCGACCAGATAAATTTATGTATCAAAGTATCTAATCGTTTAAAAAACGTAATATCTGGGTCTGGAAGGGATGTAAAGAGGTGTGTGAACAGTGGGAGTAGTTGCGATTTTATGATTGTTACTTTTCCTCTTAAAGTTAGCATTCTTGTGGACCATGAAAATAAAAGTTTTCTAGCTTTTTCAAATTGCTTTTCGAAATTTGATTTAGTCATATTTTGAAGATCAACATTGAAAATGATGCCAAGTATTTTAAAGGGTTCTTTTGACCAGCGTAGGGGAATATGTGGGCATAACTTTTCATTACTATTCTTTTTAGATCCAATCCACATTAGCATACTTTTATCACAATTTATGTTCAACCCTGAGCATGTGGCAAATTTCTTTAAAATGTCAATCAATTCTGATAGACTAATCCCCGAGCCATCAAGAGTAAAATTTGTGTCGTCTGCATATTGAAAGATACAATATTCCACTCCTTTTAGACCCGTGATTATCTTGACCAGCATAACGTTCCAAGTTCTTCCATGGCCTGCATGCTCCCCGGATATGAATCTAATAGAACATTTGTGGGACTACGTAGACAGACAAATCCGTCGTTGGAGACAAGCACCGCAGACGAGACAGGAGCTGGTTCTTGCCTTACAAGAAGAGTGGCATCGGATAGATGCACGTGTGATCCGACGTCTGACAACGTCCATGAGGAGGCGTGTTCGCGCTTGCTGCTGGTCGTCATACACGTCCAGAACAATGAACGTTTCCATCTGCTTAGATGTATCCAACAATTCCCATTTTTGTTTTGACATCTGAAGGGTCATGATCATAAACGCTCATAAAATGACCGCCTGTCTGTGGTACAATACTTACTTTAGCCATACATTATCTCCGATATTTGCTCTTGAATTAGTCTGTCGTACAGACCCTGAAGCAAATATATCCAAGAAAGCCCACGCAAGTCTAGAAAATGTGGCAAGTCAGGATTTCCTCAGCTTCAGCTGAAAATGAAGAAAGTCTCAGGGCTCCTTTTCATGTTATTATTATTTTTTTAGAATTAACGTTTCAGTATCTGCTTAGATGTATCTATGAACTTTTTTCAGTAAAATATGTTCATTTCAGAGACTAGTTGTTAGTCTACTCTTGAACATAAATTACACTTTTACTTTCTGCTGTTGCTTTCTTCATAAAAAAGTCGGTGTCAAAGTCGATGTATACTTTCTTTTGCTGGTCACTTTATTTACCTACAGCTGATAGGTACTATTTACCTACAGCTGATAGGTACTATTTACCTTCAACTGATAGGTATTATCTACCTTACACCAAAAATGTACTCTCTCTCTACACCCAATAGTAACTCCTTACCTACATATGTACTATTCACCTACAACTGATAGGAACTATTTACCTAAAACAGACAAGTATTATTTACTTTACACTAATATGTGAACTCTACACCATGAAGGTGCATATGTTCTATTCACCTACAACTAGCAGATACTATTTACCTACAACTGTCAGCTACTATTTACCCACAACTGATATCTACTTTTACAATCAATGAATGAGTACAACATACCTTGAACTAATATGTAATATTACTAAGTAATTGGAGACAAAATGCCAAGAAATACATTCAGATAATTTATTTATCATAAGTAGGCCACACAATTGCTCATTACATGTTTTCCAGACGCAAACAACAAATATTCCACAATACACAACCACAGATATAAACACCAGGATAACTGACCACTGAATAACAATAATAACAGGTATCTTTATGAAGCCTGGACGTGGTCGCAGAAATAGAATGATACAATTTGGCCATTGGAGAATCAAAATGAGATACACAAGGGACGGTGTAGTAGCCAAGTGGTTAAAGTGTTTGCTCGTCCCGCTGAAGAACCAGGTTCAATTCCCCACATGAGTACAATGTGTGAAGCCCATTTCTGGTGTCCCCAGCCGTGATATTGCTGGAATATTGCTAAAAGAGGCGAAAAATTTAACTCATTCACTTGTTCTGTCCTTTCGTCATGATTTTGGGCCTTGGTCCCTGTTTATTAGCCAGTCACACTCTAATGCACGAAACTGATATCGTCATGGGAGGATGTCTATAATGAGGGAGTGAGTTAAGTTGGGTTTTACGCCACTTTTAGCAATATTCCAGCAATATCACCGCGGGGGACACCAAAAGTGAGCTTCACACATTGTACCCATGTGGGGAATCGAAACTCGGGTATTCGGTGTGACAAGCAAACGCTTTAACCACAAGGCCACCTCACCGCCCCTGTTAATAATGAGTGAGCGAATATAGGTTTATGCACCAGTCAATGATTTTAAAGCTAAACCACTTGACATAATTAACAAAGCATGGGCCAGGTAAACAAGACACTGATAGCCCAAGCTTTCAGTATATAAGACTTATACGGTCGGTCGCACGAAGCGCTTAGTAGCTGCTTTGAAAGTACAATTGCGTCAGGGTAATAATGTAACGCTAGAGAAAAGCATTGAGTTGGATACTAGGCGCAAAAATTAGCATTATTATTATTAATATGAGGTGCATGTGTCAGTTGTGGATATTGTGTGTGACTTGAGAGGCCTTGTACACGTGTACATTGAGATTGAATGGTGTACAAAAGCTTTCCGTAAGACCCAGAACATCTCATAATTCACGAATCTTGAGTGAGTGAGTGAGTGAGTATGGTTTTATGCCGCTTTTACTAGGCTTTTAGCAATATTCCAGCAATATCACGGCGGGGTCACCAGAAATGGGCTTCACACGTTGTACCCATGTGGGGACTCAAACCCGTGTCTTCGGCGTGACGATCGCTTTAACCACTAGGCCACCCCACCGCCCACGAATCTTGTCAAGAGATGAACAGTCTCAGATACAACTGTGACCTGTCGTCTCATGAGACGGTTTGGTGTCAGGATGTAATTACGGTGCAGCCAGCCATCTTGAATTGGTTTTTAAGAGGGTCATCAGCCAATCAGAGCAGTTCTCCATGGAGCGATATAAGCAAATATACACATCATGATTGAGTGTGATCTCATAAATGATGCAGGTGTTGATGATGTTGATGACGTTGATGCTAAACCAGCAGTTCACTATCAGCAACTCTTGTTTCCTGAAATGATACACACACATATTTGCTATACACACTCGACCATTCAGTCAATTATTTCCATAAATTTAACATCAAACACTTCACAGTACAGACTCAATTTCTAGCACAAAAGGTCAATCCATATATTTGTTGGTTGTTAAATTCCACACTCAGCAATTATTCATTTAGAATTTAAACACCGTTATTTGAACCATTAGATCTCATACAATATGAACCAAGTCACCAAGCCTAACTACATGAGATATGGCTGGCGTAATTGCTTTGGCTTCTGGGGGTGGTGGGGTAGCCTAGTGGTTAAAGCGTTCTCTCGTCAGGCCCAGGCCCAGGCCCAGGTTCCATTCCCCATATGGGTACAATGTGTGAAGCCCATTTCTGGTGTTCCCCGCTGTGATACTGCTGGAATATTGCTAAAAGCAGCGCAAAACCAAACTCACTCACTTTGGCTTCTTGTTTCAGGATTTAAACTGCAACTGTTTGTTTAATCTTGAATGTCATTATGAAAACAGCCTGTACATAGAGCAGAGATTGCAATATGGCCGTAATATAACCAACGTGATGTACAATTTTAACTCGATCACATGGACCAGATATATTAGTTACTGAGATGATGTACATAGTCGCACATCACCTGGGTACTAGGACTTGGTCAACTTAGTCATTTAACCGTACCTCTTCTATCCGTGCTCTCTTCTGTGATCGTATTTCATCCTCATCTTCAAACATCTCCTCCATCTTACGTTTGTACCTTCAAACACACCAGATCAGTCAAAAAGGATTTGATTCAGACACGTTAGTTCAGGACATGATTCTAATTTACACGTCGGTACCAAAATATCGGAACCAACTTGCATCAACTTTAAAATCTTTGCAGGCCTCAATATCAGATTTTTACATAGGGAGCCTTGCATCTCTATATTATGTAACATTCTAGATGCTGTAGTAATAGTAAGGACAGAAATGATTTGCTTATGATTTGCTTTCAATGGTTTACATCTTCTGAACCACTAAAATTGTTATTTTGAGATTACTTTTGGTGACAAAATCTGTTTGCTTGCTGTTTAACACTTCATCCTAGTGGTGGTCCGATTAATTGAAATAATCGAAGATTGGTCGCAGTGACAAAACGACCAAGCAATCGATCATGTTTTCTCATAATCGAACACAAACAATTTTGGACCACTTGTTTGCAATAACAGTATTTTTCAAAAGGTCGATTTTGTCTCGACATTGCATAAGCACTACAAGCTCGTTCCAAGTCATGATTAAGTTTATCTTAACAACTCCAGGAAATGTATGTTCCTAACACAATAGTCATCCTTTAAAGTTGTGAAATTTGCAAATGCATTTTGTGGAATTTGCGAAAAAACCCGAGAGAACGACATGTTTTTTCTTTATTTTTTGTGCATTAACAAACATAACCAGGAAAATTTGATAAATAACGCTAACCAACTATTTTCGATGATTGATCGGTTGTAATGAACCAATCATCAATTATGAGATTTACACCAATTCCCAACACTACTTCACTCTGAAATGTTCCTGTATAAAAGAACATCCTGTACATACATGGAGTTTGCCGAAGATAAAACAGTGATTGAGAATTTGTGCAATGGCCCTTGGGGGTGCAACTTAAACACATATGAGTAGAAGATTTTAAAGGTTACAGAAAAAGTGAAAAAAGAAAGATAAAGCTTAATTATTAACTTATTCTGCCACCATGGTTACAATCATACACATTTTTCAGGACTTCTATCAAACTTTGAATTCCAACACTAATCCCCCCGTCCAAGGGGAGTCAAGAGGAGACAACTCACACTTCACTCTCTGGGTTGTTCTCCTGGTTGCGGCACTTCTCCAGCTTCCGCTGGATGAGCTGCACGACGTCACGCTGCAGGGTGTCCTGGCTCTTCACCATCATCTTGATCTCTGAAACATGGCAGGTGGATATACAACTGCTCTTAGTAATAATAATAATGATCCTACAAAAATCTTCAAATGAATTGGGGGAATTCAGATTTACTCCGCTTTTAGCAATATTCCAGAAATATGGCGGGGGACACCAAAAATGGGCTTCACACATTGTACCTATGTGGAAACTTGAACCCGGATCTTCGCCGTGACGAGCCAACACTTTAACCACGAGACTACCCCACAACCTCTCCAGAAAAAACTACTGTAGAGAAAGCGAAACCTACCTACAGTTTATTGGTTGCTTAGTGTTTAACACCACACTCAGCAATATTCCAGCTAAATGTCGGCAGTCTGTAAATAATTGAGTCTGGACCAGACAATCCAGTGATCAACAGCATGAGCATCGATTTACACAATTGGGATACGATGACGTCAACCAAGTCAGCGAGTCTGACCACCCGATCCCGTTAGTCACCTCTTCTGACAAGCATGGGTTACTAAAGACCAATTCTAACCCAGATCTTAATAACTAAGCCTAACAGAGTTCCCCAGTCCAAAGTCTGAATCTACAGTTGAACAAGATTTGGAAAAGCAGTTAACACCTGGGTCAAGTATTCATCTGGACAGTTATAAATAAACATAGATTTTAGAAATACCTATCCTAGAAAAAGTTCAATACCTTAACTCAGATCCCCCGTGAAGGTCTGGGTTAGAATTGATCTTCAGCAACCCATGCTTGTAAGAAATGGCGACTAATGGGATTAACTCAGGATCATATGATCATCATACATCTGTTTCTGAACCCTTCTGACTTCTGTACAACTTACTCTTGATAATGGTGATGGTTTTCCGGAGTTCCTCCTGAGAGGCACCTGCCAGCAGGGCGTCAGTCACATAGCTGAAGTAAGAAGGATTATGTGAGTGAGGAGATTTAACATTTGGACAGTCCATCAGTAATATCATGGCATGTGAGGGGGAAGTTTTTAGGGGAGTCTGGTCCTCAAATCCATTCTGGCACCCAAATTGAATCGTGAATGGGTCTTGGGTCTTATTACTTGGATGTAATGGGTCTGATGAATGTGATGTATAATGGGTCTGAGGTGTAATAAATGTCAGGTCTAATGGGTCTGAGGTGTAATAAATGTCAGGTCTAATGGGTCTGAGGTGTAATAAATGTCAGGTCTAATGGGTCTGAGGTGTAATAAATGTCAGGTCTAATGGGTCTGAGGTGTAATAAATGTCAGGTCTAGTCTGGTCCTCAAAACCCATTCTGGCACCCAAATTGAATCCTGAATGGGTCTTGGGTCTTATTACTTGGATGTAATGGGTCTGATGAATGTGATGTATAATGGGTCTGAGGTGTAATGAATGTCAGGTCTAATGGGTCTGAGGTGTAATAAATGTCAGGTCTAATGGGTCTGAGGTGTAATAAATGTCAGGTCTAACGGGTCTGAGGTGTAATGAATGTCAGGTATAAAGGGTGTGAGGTGTAATAAATGTCAGGTCTAATGGGTCTAAGGTGTAATAAATGTCAGGTCTAATGGGTCTGAGGTGTAATAAATGTCAGGTCTAAGGGGTCTGAGGTGTAATAAATGTCAGGTCTAAGGGGTCTGAGATGCATTAAATGTCAGGTCTAAAGGGTCTGAGGTGTAATAAATGTCAGGTCTAAAGGGTCTGAGATGTAATAAATGTGAGGTCTAATGGGTCTGAGGTGTAATAAATGTCAGGTCTAATGGGTCTGAGGTGTAATAAATGTCAGGTCTAATGGGTCTGAGGTGTAATAAATGTGAGGTCTAAAGGGTCTAAAGGGTCTAAAGGGTCTGAGATGTAATAAATGTCAGAATGGGTCTGAGGTGTAATAAATGTCAGGTCTAATGGGTCTGAGGTGTAATAAATGTCAGGTCTAATGGGTCTGAGGTGTAATATATGTGAGGTCTAATGGGTCTGAGGTGTAATAAATGTCAGGTCTAATGGGTCTGAGATGTAATATATGTGAGGACTAATGATTCAGAGAAGTAATGGAGTCTAATGATTCTAAGATCTACTGGAGAGTCCGAGTCAACAGTCTAAAGGGCCTACTCACAAATTTAATTTGTCTGCAGTCGAATCTTTTTCTTTCCTTGCTATATTGAGTGAATGAGTGTCATTCCTAGAATGTGGAACATTATGAGTCCGAGGCCAATTCATCAGCCTAGGGTCAAATGGGACTGAGGTCTGATGATTCTGTACAAATGAACTCCTCATTAACTTCCCAGGCTCACAGTACACCTCACCTGTCCATGATGATCTGTTCCCGTGACGCGCTACTGAGCAGTGCAGCCAGCGCCACCTACAACACACCAACATCACCTGGATATACGATACAGTCAAACAATGCTTGATTCTGATTGGATAAAATCTGGTTAAAACTCCTAGTTTAGCACTTGGTTCCAAATCAAAATATAAGGTACCTCATTTACATTTAAACTATCTCCAATTTCAAAACAATGTAGATCTATCTCCTCAAAATACAACATAAATGTAATTTTCTGAATAAAATTGATATTTTATACTTATCCTGACTCATGCTTATTGCTTGTCTCCTTCCTTTTGTGAACGTTAGTGGAACACTTGTATCTTTTATTGAAGCTCCCTTCAATAAAAACAGACGTAAAATCACTACTCACCATGAGTTATCTCTCTGGCCATTTTGGCGGGAAAAGCGGCGCCACCGCTCCCACATGCTTCACTCTCTCCGAATTATAGAGCCCGACACTTTAATTTGCAGGAAATCCAAAGTGTAGTGGGAGGTTGGGAGGGCTTACCTCATGAGTCAGGATAAAGTATAAAATATCAATTTTATTAAAGAAAATTACATATTTTCCCTTATCCTGACTCATGCTTATTGCTTGTAGAATCGGTCGGTTTGGTGGTGGGTCAAGCTACTTCTGGATTTCATTTAGTGATTTCGTCATATATACCCCCTATGGGAACTTCTTGTTGGCACTGCTATTTTGCTACTGCTAGTCTCTGCTGCTGCTGTAACCGGTACTTCCAGCTGTCTCTGACGGGGGACCACAATTGTTAACTTTTTGGTCCTGGCTTCTGTTTTTTACATCTTATGTGGATTTTAGACTCCATTTCTTGGCCTTGAAGCATCAAGTGGAGAAGCAACCCTTTCTGTCTGAGTATCCTTACAAGTACTGGGTCATATCACTTATGCTAGTCTGTCCTTAGAGCGTGCATATAGACTCTAAAGCTGAACTCTTCCTTCAGTGTAGGCTTTTCAAGTCATGTGATAAAGGGCTAGACTTCGTCTCAGTGCCTTTGAGGGACTGTCACTTGTTGATGCAACAACCAGCGGGCGAAATGGTGAATGCCGGAGGCGTCCTCGGTGGCGATGTCCCTCAGGTAATGGTTGGCTTAAACACCATGTCTGATTTCCAGAAGCAGCCCTCCATTATCGTCCTGATGGAGCAATTCCCATGTAAGAGCGAGTGTTGGCGCCAGCTCTAACTTCCATGTGGGTTGGAGGCTCGTGGAGGATCCAGTCCTGCTGCTTTGTAGGCCCATGGGATGACAGTTCTGATTCAGATTGATATCGTAGTCAGGGAGACCTCCGTCTGTAGTAACGCCTGTCGATATTGGGATGAAAAGACGCTTGAATTTCTGTCTCCTGGTCCTGGATCTTTGTAGGTAGACTTTCAATGCTCTTACTGGGCACAAGGATAGGTCCTGCGTATCCTGTGATCCAAGGACTGATGATAGTGCTGGGACGTGGAATTGTCTGTCCGGTTGACCTGGCAGTTGATTCTTTGCGATGAAGTCCCATCGCAGTCCCATATGCACGGTGTTTTGATTTTCATCAAATCGTGTTGAAAGTCTAGAGCATGTATTTCCAACATCCTTGCTGCTGTTGCTAAGGCGATCAGGAACAGCGTCTTCTGCATCAAGAACTCGAAGAATGTCCTCTCTAATGGTTCGTAGACATCACTGGTGAGATGTCGTAGAACTACGTTGAGGTCCCACGCCGGAGCTTTAAATCTCTGTTGATGGTCCTCCAATTTAAAAGAGCGTAGTAAGGCAAGTAACTCTGGTACTTTCGTCAGTTTTGCACTTGTCCTCATGGTGATGACTGAGCTCAATGCCGCTGGGTATGTTGAGAGGGTTGACCCTTTTAACCGCTTCGTTTGTCGTAGGTGACAAAGGTAGTCCGCCACTTGAGGGTGTGTCGCCTTTATGGCTGTAAAGCCGGTCCTCGCAGCGTATGTCTCGAAGCTTCGCCACTTGTCGTCGTACAAGGTGCGTGTAGATTTGCGTAGAGCTAGTGAGACTGCTTTCGCTGCCCATCTGAGATGCTTGGGATCTTGATGTCGTCGTCTTCTAGGTAGAATGCACTGCGTAAACCTTGATGATGCAGGTATGTGACTATGGGCTTCGTCACCCTTGTAAACAACCAGGGGGCCGATGATATTCCAAATGGCAGGACCTTCCATTGGTAGTGTCGTCCGTCCAGTATAAACCTCAGGTACTTCCTTGAGTCGGATGTACAGGAATATGCAGGTAGGCGTCCTGTAGATCTATGCTGGCCATGTAGTCCATCGGACGGACGAGGTGTAGGAATTGTGGGAGATGTATCATGCTGAACTTTGGTATTCTGCGTAGATAATCTCTGTTGAAGGCCCTCATGTTGTAGATGAGTCAAACTTTTCTTTGGAGTTTTTCTTGGGTACTAGGAAAACTGGGGAGTAGAATCCTGGTGAGAGCTGGTCCTGGTCCACCACTTCTATGGCTTCCTTCTCTAGTAGAGATGTGACCGCTTCTCTTTAGCCTCTCTGTCCGATGGGTTGTGAAGTTGAACTTGAGGTTCGGCCTGTCAACGGGCGGAGTTGAGCTGTAGTTGTATGCGATATCCGTCTCTTAGGATGCTGGATACAAATGGATCTTGAAGAATTCCCCAGTTCTCCCAGTAGTTTTGTAGACGTCCACCCACTTGTGAAGGTTGTACAGGAACGGCTGGGGTGGAAGACTCCAGTCGTTCCGAACCCCTCCTTCATCGTCTCTGAACCTTGGCGCCTCTGGGTGCCCTGCCTCATCCGGGCCGTCCTCTATAGTTGCCGGCTGGGCGACGAAAAGAGTCCTTCCCTCCTCTGAAGGTGCTCATTTTCTTGTCTCTTGCCTTCTGGATGCCTGCGAACTTCGACTTGCCCGAGTAGCGCTGGGACGTCTGCCTGATGACACTGGCTAGTGTATCGATGGACTTTATCATGAGGACTTCTCTGGAGTCTTTGGCAACTTCCTTGGCGACATCGTCAATCTCCCCTGCGAAGATGGATGATGTCGACCATGGGGCTCTGTACAGCGACTTCGTGAAGTGTTCGCTCCAGGTGCAGGATGCCAGTAGTCCTTGTCGTCTCGCCAACGTCAACGCTGCTGAGATGGATGATAGATGGTCCGCCATAAACTGCTGGTCCTTCTTCTGCATGAGTAGAGCAGAGTAGATCATCCGGTCCTCCTCTGCGGTAGAGTCCCTGAACTTGGCGATGAACGTCTCATTCACTGCCCGGGATCTGTTCAGGCCGAAGAACATCCTTCTGGACATTGTCTCTATCTGCGCCAGCTTTTTGTCGTCAATCTTATAAGACTTGGTCCGGGCGTCGTTGATGACCTTGTAGTTGTCATCGATCTCTTGTGCCTTCATGAAGGGGGTCATATTGTGTAGGGAGAACTTCTTAGCTTTGAACTGTGGAATATTCGGCGCTTGAGATCTCGTTGCCTTCCGGAAGGCTGCGTCCAAGTTCTCTGGAACTTCCGAGATGGGATCAATTGGCGGTAGAGTGATCGTGTCGACATCATCGTCCTTCATCAGGTACGTGAGTGCAGCATTCTCTTCCTTAGAGGGTGACGCTAACTCCAGTCCGTTGGCCATCCAATATCTTATCTCTGCGTCCGAGAAGATAATACCGCCATCGCCCTCTGTTTAAGGGGCGCTGATCTGGGATCGTTGATCCTCCTCCGCTGGGGATGTGTGTGGAGACCTGCGCGGAGACTTGCGTGGAGACCTGCGCGGAGACCTGCATGGTGATCTGCGTGGAGATGAGCCTGTAGAGCTGCGTCTGTAGGGCGATCTGCGTGGAGACGAGCGTCTCTTGGTTCGTGACTGCCTCGGCGAATCCCTTGACGATCTGTGTGATGTTGATGACGTCCTTGAGGCTGTCTCCGAAAACCTTCGCGAAGGCTGTTCATCTGCGTTGTCAATGGAAGGCCTCTCCGATGTGTCGGCGGCGGTGGGTCCTTTGTGCAGGTCCGGGTCCTCTCTGCGGGTGGTGTCTCCGAGAAAGTCCTAGTTGTCTGCACAGGCGTCCCCGTAGAGCTGCTCGCCGTCTTAGGGAGTGTGGCTGTCTCTGCGTAGAGGATGGCCTCTTCTTCTTCGTCTGCGATGAAGGGATGTCGAGGCAGCCCTCTTCTGCGAGAAGTGGCGGACAAACGTCCACGCCCATCCTCGAGGACATCTCCGGCGGATCACAGGAAGGAAGAGATTAGATCTGACAGCAGTTGACCGCGAGGACTCAACCCGGCTTATCCATAACTTGAAAAAGTCGTCTGGACTTGTCTTTAGCACGCCTAAGTACGCAGAAAATATATTTATTAAATTCAATATTGGTTAAATGCTGACAAAGGTTGCAGCGAGAGCTAGAAGTACATGGTGTTGTGCACCTAGGGCACAATAAATGCGGGTCTGCAGCAGAGAATCGGAACCTACAACAAAAACAGGTTTTCTTGAAATGTAAACACTGAACAATCACGGACGAAACCGTGAATAAACAGTGCAAAATACGAATAAATTTCAAACCATAATGTTGAAGGATACTCCCTAAACCCCTATAAAGGTAATGTATAGGGTAATAACTAATAAATAAAAGGATATAGTGCCGTATAGAAGACACAGGCGCTCTCTCAACCATCCACTAGGGCAAAGAAGGAGAGAGTGAAGCATGTGGGAGCGATGGCGCCACTTTTCCCGCCAAAACGGCCAGAGAGATAACTCATGGTGAGTAGTGATTTTACGTCTGTTTTTATTGAAGGGAGCTTCAATAGAAAATACAAGTGTTCCACTAACGTTCGCAAAAGGAAGGAGACAAGCAATAAGCATGAGTCAGGATAAGGAAAAATTTTATATTTGGGATTACACTTTCATAGTAAAGAACAGATTCTAGTACTTTTTGTTGAAGTTGCGGTGGCTGAGCGGTTTAGGCAGCTGACTTTGTGTGCTAGCGATTAGGTGCCTGACTCTGAGGGTGTGGGTTCGAATCCCGGATGGGACTCAACCCATCAAAAAGTTCTAGAATTTGTACTTTACTAAGAAAGTGTAATCCCAAATATAACATATGCTACATTTGATCACTTTCTGAATGGCATTGTGTAATCATCCTCAAAAACATGAATCCTCTATCCTCCCTACGAAATAAAGTAAAAAGTAAAATATTGTCAAATTTTTGTTTGTTTAACAGCAATATTACAGCTAAATGAATCGTGTAAATAATAGGGCTGCAGGGAATCCACTGTGAGGTGATTATGATACACATCACAACTATCGGATAGCCAATACACCCAAATTCAAGTAAAAACACTCCTTCCTTAAAGACATCATGAAATACTTGATTCTAGTGATCATGAATAATGAATTGAATTCACCAAAGTTTATGGTACATGTCACCGAATACGCAAATAAATCGTAACTGCCCTAGTAAATAATTCAGTCTGGACCAGACAATGGAGTGATCATTAAGGCAAACCCTGTATTGTGAGTCTACTACTGCATAAAGGGAAGCATCCTCGATAATCTCCAGGGTATACTTTCCGATAAATCTCCACTATACCCTGAATGCATCTACGGCTTGAGCCGATGATTTTATTACCTCCCTTTGCTGGCTTTTTATCCAATCAGGTGTCTACGCTGGGAAGTTGAGCGTACCAATCACAATTCACTTTGGCTTTTTAAATTATCTAACCGATTAAACTTGGCAACACAATAATATATTGTTGCAGAGGTACTCTGAAAGAGGTAGAAGGAGTTCTTGCATATATTTTTTTAAGATTTCTGACCTGTCAATTTGTCTTTATGTTTTTCCCCCAAATCTGGGTCGCACTGCGAACAAACTTTCGCGGCTGCGACCACTATCTTTGTTGACACTGGAAAGCTCAGTTGTAACGGCGGCTTATCTGATTGGCTACTGTGAGAATGTGGAGCCAGCAGAGGGAGGTAAGAAAATCATCGGCTCGAGCCGTAGATGCATCCAGGGTATAGTGGATATTAATTTTATCGGAACGTATACCCTGGAGATTATCGAATATGACAACTGTTAAGAGTGAGTGAGCAAGTTTAGTTTCACGCCACACTCAGCAATATTCCAGCTATATATATGGCGGCAGTCTGTAAATAATCCTGTCTGGACCAGACAATCCAGTGGTCAACAGCATGAGCATCGATCTACGCAATTGGGATACGATGACAAGTCAGCGAGCCTGACCACCCTATCCCGTTTGTCGCCTCTTACGACAAGCATGTGTTAGTGAAGACCAATTCTAACCCGGATCTTCATGGGTCCTATAACTCTCACCTGTGATGGTGCAAACAGCAAGGAGGCATCAGTGCCCAGACTTTTGTCAATAAAATCCTCTGCATAGCGCCGTAACTTCTCTGGGTCACCTACTTGGGAGTAACGAGTCTGAAACAGGTGTCGTGGCATCAGTTTTGGGCTGAAATGTCCTGCAGTATGACCCATACTACTGAGTGAGTGAGTGAGTGAGTATGGTTTTACGTGCCGCTTTTAGCTATATTCCAGCAGTATCACGGCAAGGGACACCAGAAAAGGGCTTCACACATTGTACCCATGTGGGGAATTGAACCCGGGTCTTCTGCGTGACGAGCAAACGCTTTAACAACTAGGCTGCCCCACTGCCCCCAGGAGGAAGCACTTGTACTGGGCACCACCAACACCAACAAACACAACATATCTTAACACGGACTTTAAATAGACAAAACTTTGTTTTGTACAAGGTTGCCTAGATACCAGGTATGATTCGCGGGGTTGATGTTTAACTCCAGACTCAGCATTATTCAAGCTATATGGCTGTTCCTGTTCAATACTCCATACTAGAGACAAGCCATGGTTCTACTATCTGTACCTTCAGATCTATTATCAACCCCTCGAGCGGTCTGTACATGTTGTGGATTGTCAGGTGATAGTGTAGTTTCTGCATCAGCAACAGCTCGAATCCAAGAACGATGTCCGCAAACTTCTCCCTGTTTCCTTTCAGGTTGCCTACAAACTGGCCGATCGGCACATAGAACTCTTCCACCTTACAAGCCAGATATACACACGTGAGCCTGAAACACAACGTGCTCAGTAATACAGGTCGGAACATAGAACTCTTCCACCTTACAAGCCAGATATACACAAGTGAGCCTGAAACACAAGGTGGTCGGTAATACAGATCGGCACATAGAACTCTTCCACCTTACAAGCCAGATATACACGTCAGCCTGAAACACAAGGTACTCAATAATACAGATCGGAACATACAACTCTTCCACCTTACAAGCCAGATATACACATGTGAGCCTGAAACACAAGGCGCTCGGTAATACAGATCGGAACATAAAACTCTTCCACCTTACAAGCCAGATATACACGTCAGCCTGAAACACAAGGTGCTCAGTAATACAGATCGGAACATAGAACTCTTCCACCTTACAAGCCAGATATACACATGTGAGCCTGAAACACAAGGTGCTCGGTAATACAGATTGGCACATAAAACTCTTCCACCTTACAAGCCAGATACACATGTCAGCCTGAAACACAAGGTGCTCGGTAATACAGATCTGAACATAAAACTCTTCCATCTAAAAAGCCAGATACACACAGGTGAGCCTAAAACACAAGGTGCTTGGTAATTACAGATCGGAACATAAAACTCTTCCACCTTACAAACCATATATACACACGTTAGCCTGAAACACAAGGTGCTCGGTAATACAGATCGGCACATAAAACTCTTCCCCCTTACAAGCCAGATACACACATGTGAGGCTAAAACACAAGGTGCTTGGTAATACAGGTCGGCACATAAAACTCTTCCACACAAGTAGCCAAAACATAAACAGGAAAGACTGAAACACTCGGAATCAGTACTTACATGATGTCTCTCGGATGGTAGTCCATGACAGAGTTGTTAACATAGAACCTCTTCATGAAATTTATTGCAGTACCCTGAAATGCAATCAGAATATAACAAGAAGACAAAGTCATCAATATCCCCCTCAATGGCAAAATACTCTTCATGATTATGTCTACGAGTTATGATTATGTCAAATATTTAGGTGTAGAATTTGAAAGCTTTTTAAAGTTCTGCTCCGGAAAAGAGCACTATCACTAATTTCAGGCTAAGTCAAACTTGCTGCCATGGAAACGCCAAAAATATTTTATTCAGAATTCCAAAACTACCAAAAGGCACCAGTACCCCACCAGATCTATGTATGTGCCAAGTTTGGTGAATTAATAGTGAACAGTTTTAGAGTTCTGCTCCGGAAAAGAGCACTATCACCAATTTCAGTCTATGTCAAACTTGTTGCCATGGAAATGCAAAAATGTTTTATTCAGAATTCCAAAACTACCAAAAGGCACCAGTACTCAACCAGATCTATCTATGTGCCAAGTTTGGTGAAGAAATATTGAACAGTTTTAGAGTTCTGCTCCGGAAAAGACAAATGTGCACGGAAGGACGGATGAAGGGCCGCAAGCACGCACGCACGGACCGAGTCCATTTTAGTATCTATTATTACACAATGACATTTAGAAAGTGGTCAAATGTAACATATGTTATATGGGGATTACACTTTCATAATAAATAACATGTTACATTTGACCACTTTCTAAATGCCATTGTGTAATCATAGCTTTCATCCGTAGGAGCTGTGCCAATTTACACTTATCAGAGGGGTACACAAAGTCCGCAGTCTAGACTACCAGTTGTCCAACCATTTTTGTGGAAGTTGGGGTGGCTGAGTGGGTTAGACGGCAGACTTTGTGTGCTGACTCTGAGGGTGTGGGTTCGAATCCCGGATGGGACTCAACCCAACAAAAGTACTATAATCTGTACTTTACTAAGAAAGTGTAATCCCAAATATAACATATGTTATAATTAGCGTCTACACTACAATGATCATCAATACTAACATAGAAACATACAGGACACTCCAGCTAAACCACTCCCTCTTATAAGAACCACGTGGCTCTGTGGACCTATTTCTATGCAAAATCATAGTTTAATCTTCAACTGAAAAACATGTTTTTAATAAAATCAGTTCATATATTCGGATTTTAAATATCATGTTTTCTGAACACAAATAATGGTGATATGCATGCTACTGGATTTCATTACACATATATTTTCTGTAAAATATGACGTTGAAAATATGAAAACACATTCATTTAAATCCCTCCTTAAACACGCAGTTTTGATTTTAACATTGGATTTGGCAGAGTGATGGTATCATGGATTACACTTGTTACTTACGACGACACATTTTGGCATTGGAGGTTGAAACTTCCCACAAAATTCCTTCATGACAAACACAAAATGACGACACAAGAGCCTCTCTTCCTGTGCAGTCAGGAAATGCCGAGATTTCTCTTCATCCTGAAAAATCAGCCAAGTGTTAGACAATAAGAAAAGGTGTTATAAAAGTTATCTCCCTTGTGTCAACGTGAGAGACAAACTTATTTGCTTTGTCAGTTACATTTGTAACTGCTCGCCTCTTTCTGTGACCTACAAGAAGACTTGTACCTGTATAGTACGCCATTATTGCTAAGAATCGTGGCAAACCAATCAAATCGCGCGTAGTAGAACACAGTTCGAAGCATGAAAATGGCGGCACCGCCAAACTTGGAAACTTCGCTGAACTATGCAAAGCACAATTTAAACATAAACTTTGAGCGAAAGGATCAGCAACTTTCAACACTGAAACATCTTTACAATGGGAATGACTGTATAGCTGTTTTGCCAGTCGGATATGGGATATTCTAGGAGTAGCCATGTTGGGAAATTCAGAGTTATCTTTCCTTGAAAACAGTACTAGACTATTTTCATCTTCGTGCCTCTTTACGCATAGACAAGGCCCAGTCGTGAACATGGCCACGAGACTGGTATGAGTCGCCATCCGGCTTGCTAATGACACAAGTAGTTACGAATGTAAGTTTGAATTATTGTTCTATTTCAATATATAATTGATATAAGGTCTATCTATCAACATCCCCTGGTTCTCTATCACCTATCTCGGGATCGGGTGATCAGGCTCGCTGGCTTAGTTGACACATGTCATTGGTTCCCAATTGCGTAGATCGATGCTCATCATGTTGATCACTGGATTGTCTTGTCAGGACTTGATTATTTACAGACTGCCGCCATATAGCTGGAATATTGCTGAGTGCGGCGTAAAACCAAACTCACTCACTCACTCAATATCACCTATCTGGCTTCTGTCAGTTACCTGGCTTCTCAGTAATTCACCTATGAATGGCTATCTGTGAAGATCAGGATTAGAATTTGTCTTCAGTAACCGCTTTTCGGTAAAGGCGACTAACGGGATCGGGTGGTCAGGCTAGTCAACTAGGACGTTATAGGTTGACACATCCCAATTGCATAGATCGATGCTCATATTGATCACTGGATTGTTTGGTCCAGACTTGATTATTTACAGATGCCACCATATTGCTGAGCGTGAAGTGAGACAATAAACCAACCAACCAACCTATGAATGGAAGACAACTCAATATAACTCATGTCATGTTCAAAATCTTTAACCCGTGAAGGTACGGGTTAGAATGAACATTCAGTAACCCATGCTTGTTGTAAGAGGCAACTAACGGGATTGGGTGATCAGGCTCGCTGGCTTGGTTGACAGATGTCATCGGTTCCCAATTGCGCAGATCGATGCTGATGCTGTTGATCACTGGATTGTCTGGTCCAGACACGATTATCTACAGACAGTTGCCATACAGCTGGAATATTGCTGAGTGCGGCATTCAACTAAACTCACTCAAAATCTGTAACATCTATCATCAGTATCATCAGCGATCATGACTGACTGAGTCTGGTTTTACGCCGCTTTTAGCAATATTCCAGCAATATCACAGCGGGGGACACCAGAAATGGGCTTCACTCATTGTACCCATGTAGGGATTCAAACCCGGGTCTTCGGCGTGACGAGCCAACGCATTAACCACTAGACTACCCCACCGCCCTAAGCGATCATGAGTAAATAGTTGAGAAAAAAAATTGGTGGTTACCGGTTACAGCTACTTGATACACATTAACCATAAAAAGTAGATGCAGCACCCTGATCCTACGTACCGACATGTTGCCAGCAATACCATTGATACATTTCTCATTTGCTTCAGTCCGCAGCAGGACAAGCTCCTGCTCGTCTTTGAATGTCCAGTACTTTCTCTGTGTGCTGTTGTGAAACATCCTCCTGTTATCTCCCCTGTAGTGAAATAGAAAGATTTAACACACAAACAGTTTCATTTTGCAGGCCAGACACTATACACTCTATTTGGCATTAAATCATAAACCTTTTCTTTAATGTTTACATCACACATTATGTCACACATATAGTAGGGCACATAATTATGCCACAGATGACAGCCATATGCCATCTGTTTTCGCTGTTTTGCGGATTAGTATGTCCAAGGTTTGAAACACAGGGAATTTCATAGACTTTCATTAGTCATGCTAGAGATCTGTTTGAATACTTACGTTATTTTACTTTATTCGTACGAGCATAAGACATCATAAACGCTTGCTCGTCTTTTCAAAAGAAAGAGCAGACGGACTACCCGCCATGAGACCGGAAGTTGACAAAGGTATTCGTCAAAAGACCTCTCTATTATAATGAAGCGAACATGAATCATAATTTACCATCTAAAAAAGTAAACGCAATCTAATAAGGTGATAAACTGTGAACAATTACTTGTGGATAAGTACAAAGACCTACAACTATATATTAGTTTGTTATCAGTATATCTGCATAATAACTTCACTCTTTCGTATATTTAATCTTTCCTGGTGTAAGTCGTATTTTGTATATCTTTATGAATGAACATGCTTCCGGTTTGAACAGGTGTTCCGAATTTTTGATAGGAACATTGTCCCCCGACACATAGAAGTATGTGTAAAGTACTATCTTATCGTTCTTTATGTTGGGTCTTCCACCAACGTGTGCTAGGGGAAGTTAGTTTAGTATAGGCGAGACGGTCGCAAGAGAATAATGAGATAAGCGAAGACCCTCAGATTTCGAGCACGAGTTCACTTGTTTTGAGCTAGATAACCATACCGCACACTTCCGCTTTGATACAAAGCTGCCGTTTCAGGCATTTTTATGACAATATTCCTTCTCTGATACTAAACATACTTAGTATTACATGATGCATTATGAATAGCTCCTTCAAACTTTCTGGTTAACCAGACGCGCCGAAGCCATTACATGGTCGTGTCTGAGAACATGCTTCAGTGTTTTATAATTTTCATATCAGAAGAAAAAAAAATAGCTTCTTAACATCTTTCATCTGGAATATTCTCCACCTGTGTTAATTGCTGGTCATAAAAAAACAATTATATTCTTGAATCAAGAGACAAAGACATTTTTAGTTTCAGACTTAGTTAACAGTTAACCATGACAACAGAAGAAGACTCAGCTGTTGACATGGAGGAATATTACGACAAGATGTTTTCCAATCGTTACACTGAGGAAGACACAGATTTTCAGACAGAAATGTCCAAGCCAGTCCCCCCTCCACCATGTGTTATGAACTGGTACACCAAGAACCGCAGGAATGACTGGGGCCGACAAGGGTATGCATGTATATTTTATGATAATACTAATAATGTGTCTTCTTATTTGCACTATATAATTAGACATGTAAAGTCCACCCATTATTGCCCCGGTCAATGGATCACGACACGACAACCAAGCCTGTGAGGGACCAGAAGGTTAATAGTCACTTGGTCATGTGATCCCCCTGTTAACCCATTCACTGCTGGGTGACCTGGTTTGTGACTTGTGCTCTTAAACAAGATCACACACAGCATTTAGGGATTTAGATAAAGTCTTCAGAAACCTATGTTTATATGAGACAACGTAATGGATTAAGCTTTGTGACTTCATTTGATTAAGTGTCATCGTCCAGTGTTCATAATATCAATCATCAGTTTGTCTGGCTCAGACACGATAATTTACTTCATCATTTGGGCGAATTTAGATACTTGAAAACAAAACAATTTTATTGTGAGTATTATTTGTATCATTTTAGGTGAGCCGACAGGGCAATGTTAAAATGTTTCATCTGTGCCATTTAAATATTTACCGTGCCATGGCACACAAATTAAGCACTAAATTGATCACGGCAAGTTAGTGGTGGTCCGATTAATTGAAATAATCAAAGATTGGTCGCAGTGACCAAACGACCAAGCAATTGATCACATTTTCGAATATAACCGATTTTGGAGCTACTGTTTTAGTGTTTGAAACACTTGACAATGGAAAATATGTTAGAAATTGTCAGGGCCCGAAAACGTGTTTGATTCCTAGAAAACTCTCCTCACAAACTGAAAAGTCATGAGTGAATATTTCTTGAAGACTCTGGGAAGTTTATGTTCATGATGTATTTTTATTAGTCATCAATTTAAAGAAGCAAGTTGCATCATTTTACATTGGGTTTGACATTTGCAAATGTAATTTGCAAGTTTCTAACTAAACACACACACACACAGAGAACCATGTTATACCTATCAACGAAAACACCCTGAATAGTAAAATCTGAAAAATGACGCTGACCAATTTTTTTCGATGATTGCTCGTTGGTAATGAACCAATCATCAATTGTGTGATTTCAACCAATTCCCAACACTACTACAAGTTCAAGCCCCTGAAACTCTTTTCGTTTGTGGCCTATTGATTTTATCCATGTCACTGACACTTTAACAAAGGTATTTCATACCAAACCATTTTAAGAATATGCCAGGAAATATGTAATATTCTCAATATTTACTCACTGCTTACCGTTTTTCAGACGAGGTGATAATCAAGGTCGGGGTGGTTACAACCAATCTCGTGGCAACTGGGGTCACCATGGTGATCGCTATGGCAACCGTGGTGGGGTTATGGTAACAGGGATGACAACTATGGCAGAAACAGAGACCGTTACGGAGGCAGAGGAGGAGGGGGATACCACCGAGGTGGAGGAGGCCATTATGGGGGTGGAGGGTATCACCGTGATCAGGGACACTATCAACGGAACCGGTATGACGAAAGAAGTAACCGATGAACTGACATAGGTTTATTTCTGTGATGAATTTCTGGAAAGATTGTGGGACGAGGTGCATTCTGAAAATGATGGAGGTGCTTACGAATGGGAATGTCTGACATTGTCCTTCAGACTGACCGCCATCATGTGCCGAGTGGCATAAATAAGAAAGAAACAATCCGTTCCTATTGAAAATGTCAGATTCTAGCAAAGGATTTGTAAATAATTTGATGGAATATTTGTTGTCACTAAATCATGTAAATCATTCATTGTTGTGATCAGATCACAGGACATTGTCAATACACAATTTGTCTCCATTTGTGTTTGTTTGTTGTTTAACATTGCACACAGCAATATTCCAGCTATTTGGCATCGGTCATATAATCATGTGTAGACCAGACAGTCCAGTGATTGACATCATGAGCATCGAGCTACGCAATTGGGATATAGGTCCGTCTCCTATTCTCGCGGGTTTCCTATTCTCGCGGTAAACCGTTTTCTGCCTAAATCACTGATGTGACACTTAGCGGTTGTTTACATCACTGTCTGGTAACTAGGAAGTGGCCCAAGTCTGTGAGTGATCAAAATCTTGCAGTGCCACGAATATTGGGGAGTTTATACCAACTTAGACATATCATTACTTTTCCCCCTTTCCGGGAGGATTGCTCTTACATACACTCAATAACGTTAATTCCTGGTAATACCGCGAGAATAGGAGAAGCCTCGTTTCGTCAATGGCGGATGGCATTGTTTATCACCGGGCTCACGAGTGGTAATTCACCTGATGGATCTGGCAGCTGATAGATGTAGATGTTAGAGGAGAAGGCCCTGCATTTAAAAACAACATGCATTAATACGATAAGAATTGTTTGTGTTATTTTTTCAGCTGATATCCGTAAGTACCGCGAGAATAGGAAACGCCTTCCTACAATGTGTGTCAACCAAGTCAGTGAGCCTATCCACCTAATCCCTTTTGTCACCTCTTACTACAAGCATGGGTTGCTGAAAACTAAATTCTAACCCAGATCCAAATTCAAATGGTCATGATGTGTGTATATTTTCGGTCAAGGAAATGCATCCTTTTGTTTTGAGAAGGATTAAATGCTTACCTTGACAATATTGGACTGACTATCTAAAATATAGGGAAAATAAGAACAATGAACAAATCTCAGTTATTATAAAATATACTTCCAATCAACAGTTTAGACTCACTTAAAACACTCACTATATGGTTACATTGAAGATTGATTTCTCCACTACCTAGGGCACACTCCGGCACAACGATGACTTAACATAACATCACTGCCACAGGCTAATTTGCATATCACGTGACCGGACTTTTCTCTTGTTTGTAATCAAACGCGCATATTCATAATAAGAAGAGACTGGACTCACGAAAGCTTTTTGGCGCTCTCTTCATAATGTTTTTACATTGTTACATATATATTCTTCCACAACTGCGACAGTAAGGTCTATGACAGTACATATTTAGGTATCAAACTGGCTGCATCGTTTGCTCTCAATCAGCTTCGATGACAACACGTGGAGCTGTACAACCTATGTAAACAAAGGATCGCTACGCAAATCGAAATAGTGTTACATGTTTTTGGATATTTTCTCAGTGAAACTTAACCATTCTATTAAAGATGTTTAGTTAGATGTGTAGACTCGTCAAAAATAAAAGAGTAAAAGAAATCTGTACATTATATTGAATGGACATTGCAAGATGTGACGAATCGTCACATTTTTCTGGCCTGTGGCAGAGGTACTATGCTGGCTTGCCGCATGGAACTCTGGGTAGGAGAGTGTGCCTAGGGGGAACCAACTGCAAACTTTATGCAGATGATTTGCACGAGGATCATGAAAGGCATGTGCAAATATTGTGCATGTGAACAGCTGCGTTTTGGGGTAAAGTTTTGTTAAGAATTCCCAATTTTCACTGATTTTTATTATTCTTTGAGCTCATGACAATAATCTTTTCAATGTTACGAATTTGTTTTACAATACATTAGTTCATGTGTAAACAGTACCTTTAAACAGTATGGAAAATTTTGCAAGAATTAGTTTAGAACAGTTGCCTGAAATAAGTGGCTATATTTACACTAATGAGTCTATACTTTAGATGGGAAGTATATATAACTGTTGTTTTTCTGCTTTGACTCTTGGATTTTTCTCTAAAAGTTGGATTTTCACCATGGTTATTGTCTGAAGGTTTCTGTAATTTGTTTAATTAAGAGTATGTGTTATCCTTCTTAGACCTATTTACAAGATCTGAACATGAAATATGTTTTGGAAATCACTGTGTTCCTCGTTATACACAACTAAACCAAATAGTATAGTAATATTTATAATAAGTCTGATAATATAGGTCTCATAGGTCTAGTACCCATGAAGGTCCAGGTTAGAATGTTCCTTCAGTAACCCATGCTTGTTGTTAGAGGCGATTAACGGATTGGGTGGTCAGGCTCGCTGGCTTGGTTGACACATGTCATCGGTTCCCAATTACGCAGATCGATGCTCATGCTGTTGATCACTGGGTTGTCTGGTCCAGACTCGATTATTTACTGACTGCCGCCATATAGCTGGAATATTGCTGAGTGTGGCGTAAATTAAACTCACTCACTCTTAAGTCTAGTTATCTTGTTCATATTTGCCAGATTCCATCAATAATGAGTGAGTGACTGACTGAGTGAGTATGGTTTTACACCGCTTTTAGCAATATTCCAGCAACATCACGGCAGGGGACTCCAGAAATGGGCTTCACACATTGTGCCAATGTGGGGAATAGAACACAGGCCTTCGGCTTCTAGAACACAGGCCTTCGGCGTGACGAGCATCTGGGTACGATGTCAGAATTTGCAAGACTGCAAGAACTTACAACAAAATATACTACTCAAGAGAAGTTTTCCCAATAGAGATTATTAATTTTGTGTGTTTCCGTATCATTAATATATATAAGAAATAAAAATTGTATTAAGCAGCCTTTGGCGAGCATAATACATATTATTTCTTCCTAATACAGTGGAAACAGCCTAAGTAAAGACCGCTTAACTAAACAGACCGGATAAGTAAACACTATTCTTTGGTCCCGGCAAATTTCTTCATTAATTATCACTATTAGAGTCTGGTTAACTAAACTCGGATAAGTAAACAATACCGCTTAACTAAACGTCTTCTCAAGGTCCCTGGAAGTAAATTACTTAACAAAAGAGAAGGGATAACTAAATTAGGGATCACCGCATAATCTGACATGCAGTTGACAATACACTGACAACTGGAGGCCAGCCCTGATAAGTTGTTCATTGTTACATATGCATACATATACATGCATATGTTTTCATTTGCAGGTTTTTATAAGTTTGGAGTTTTGTTTTAAAGTTTTTGATGTTAAAGTATTACCAATTTTGACTTATGGATCAGAAGTTTGGGGATTCCATTCATCGCCGGATGTCGAAAATATACACATTAAACTCTGTAAATTAACTTGTGGATTGAGTAGAAATACTCCAAATAATTTTGTAAAATCTATCTTGGCTAGAAATTCTGTCAAAGTGTCCCATTATTGAAAAATTGTAAAGTTTTGCTTAGTTTATTAACTCTAGAAAACAACTTGATATTAAAGAAAGCTTATACTTTCCAGTATAAAAGGGCAGAGAACGGTAGTGCTTGCTGGGCACTCGAGGTTAAATCATTGTTATTTTCTTACGGATTCGCAGAGGTTTGGATTCAACAGAGTGTTGGATGGGCTGATTTATTCTTACACCAGTTTAGGCAAAGGTGTGTAGACCTTGAGAATCAAATCTGTCAAGAAAATATTCAATCTTGCTCTAAACTTGAACTGTTCTTTGCATTCATTCTCAATATCATAACTGTGTTCGATTTATCGATGTAAAATTATTTCGAATTAATATTTTGAATTTTCTTGGATCTAATCACCGTCTTCTAATAGAAACAGGCAGATATTATAGAATTCCACGAAATGAACCTGTTTGCCCTTTTTGTATTATACCAGTTGTCGAGGATGAATTTCACTTTTGCCTCGCGTGTCCATTTTACCTTGATCTGCGATCCAGTCTCATACCTCAATATTTTCACTTGTTTCCAACTGGCAAGAAAATGCTCTTGTTATTTGGCTCCACTAATCATAACATATGCAATAATCTGGCAAAATATATGTTTCTTGCCGCTAAGAAACGTGATTCCTTTTTCAAAGGGATATCTGTGAAATTATCTCTTGTTACAAATAAATACTCAAATTTTATTCCGTATTTTAGGCCACATTGCCCATAGTACAATTGTGTTGTAAGATATACAATCGTTGTCACATGACCAAAATTACATTACGAAGATCTTAAGCCAAATATTTTTAGCAGATATATAGATGTTAAACGTAATATATTTACATCATGTGTGTTTAATATTTGTTGCAAAGTTAATCCAATTTTACAATATTTTTTGATGGACAAGAAGTATTCATTACGGAGTAGAAAATATCTATTACAAATAAAGAAAACATGGTATCTCTTGTTACATTAATGTCCTTAATGTACGTGTATTTATATACAGCGCTCATGTCACAATTGTTACTGGAATAAAAGCAACTAGATAAGGAAAACACCTGATAAGTAAACAATTTTAGCGAGTCCCTTGAAATTTTACTTATCAGGTTTCCACTGTTTATGATATTAATGATATGGAAACACACAAGGTTAATAATCTCTTTATCATATAATGATATTTTTAACAGTACTCTTAAAAAAGAGACCGCCTCTGTGGTGTAGTGGTTAGAGCGTCCGCCCGGAGAGCGGAAGGTCGCAGGTTCGATCCCCGACAGCGTCATACCAAAAGACGTTAAAATATGGTACTTATTGGTCCCTGCCTGGCGCTCGGCATTAATGGGTACAACAAGGACTGGTGGGCTCGGAGTCAGTATATTGTGTCTTTGTGGGGTATTCATGCTTCACTGCGGCATGGTATCTCAGTGGGCTAGCACTATAAAACCAGCTTCAGTCTGGGCTAGTACAAGCAGCCGCACATACACATACACACGCACGCACGTCGTGATATGAGCGAAATATTCTCAAGCACGACGTTAAACCCAAATTCATCTCACCTCACCTCACCTTAAAAATGAAGCAAATTTATCAGATTGCTTTATTGCACCGATAACACCCCCCATTATATGATGACAGATCATTATTTTATATTACTTTTGTCAGTCTGTTACGACATGACAGATTAACTACAGTCTATTAACTAAATGGGTGTATCCTAACATCTTTTGAATAGTAGAATACTGACATGAAAATACAAGACA